AGCGCCTAGGGCTTGCCGATCGAAAGGTCGGCGGTTCGAATCCCCGCGGCGGAGTGCGCTCCCGTTGCTCGGTCCCAGCGCCTGCCAACCGAGCAGCTCGAAAGCACCCCCGGGTGCAAGTAGATAAATAGGGACCGCTTACTGGCGGGAAGATAAACAGTGTTTCCGTGTGCTGCGCTGGCTCGCCAGATGCAGCTTGTCACGCTGGCCACGTGACTCGGAAGTGTCTCCGGACAGCGCTGGCCCCCGGCCTCTTAAGTGAGATGGGCGCACAACCCCAGAGTCTGGCAAGACTGGCCCGTACGGGCAGGGGTACCTTTACCTTTATGTATGGGGGATTAGCTCAGAAGGTGAAGGAGCCGGGTGGGGAAGAGTGTCAGATCCAGTTCCTGTAGTCTGGCAATAAAAGCAGAGAGAAGAGGCAATCCGTGCAAAAATCCTGAAAGCAGTTCTCACTCTGGACTTTGCTGCCCCATTGTTGCTATGCAAATATTTTAGGCTGCAGAACACTCCAAAGTCAGTATGGTGCAGAGTTTACATAACAAGTATGGGAGTACGATAAGCCCTGGGACCTTATAGCGAAGGGAGGGTAAAAAATCTAAACTGAAATAATAAAAAAGAGGTAAAACTGTTCTGCAAGCCTTTTAAAACACTAATATTTATTTAGCTTCCTGATAAGACTAACCATATATTTAAGGTAGAATTCTAAGCATCTGCCCACAGAGCCAAGGCCTACTGAAACTGTGACAGGTCAAGGCTTTACAGCTGGCTGCTAGATAACAAAGCTATGAATCTAATCAAGGCTAAATTCAGCCACAATTTATAGACTCCCCCTCCCCCACAGCCAGGGGTGGGGAGCCTTTTTTCAGATTAAGAGCCACATTCCCTTCTGGGGAAGCATCCTGGGACCACAGGCCAGTGGATGAAGCAAAGAAGGCAAATTTTGCCTCTGTATATTGAGTGGGCTGGAAGATTCTCCAGGCACCCCTCTGTCTCTCATCAGCAAGGCCAGTGAAGGGTATGGCCTACAGAGAGCAGGGGTGGCCTATGTCAGATAGAGATGCCAGGAGGGCCACATTGGGCTCCCAGGCAAGAGGTTTCCCATTCCTGCCCATGGTGCAACTCTACACCGCCATGCCTGGTGAGGTCAGGCTGGTGGGCATGTGGAGCAGGATGTTTTTGACCAGTCCCTCCAGGCTTTGGGGCTCCCTCCTCTGGGATAGCCATATGGCCCCTTGCTTTTAGCCTCCTGGCGCAGGCATAGCATTAAGAGTTTGGTGTTTCACTGAGCATTTAGGGGAGAGGCCTAAGTTTTAATTGGATGCAGTGTTTCTGCTCTTAACATTTCAATCTCCATTGTTTGGTTGTTTTAGTACTATTGGTAGACTGGTTTATTCCAGTTGCCGCCAACCTCTTGAGGCCTGTAGTCACATTTGCAAATCAGGGAAACGGTATGGGCACTACACAGACCCTGCAACACACCGCTATCTATTCTGCTGGAAACAACAGAATGCTTCATTCAAGCTGAACTTTAGAGGGGAAGGGGAAGAGACCACTGAACAGGACATGTGCTTCTATGGTCACCTGAGATCTGTGGGTGAGGGGTGGTATACAAATTTAATAAATAATAATAATGTTGGTGACCCCCTAGTTTATTCTATCAGTTCCTTTTTAAATGTATATTTTGGTTACCTTTCTTTAACCAGAAAAGCTAAACTCCAGTCTCCTTTTCTGATCTCTGGTTGTATCTGTCATTTTCTCCTTCCTTCAAGCTAACATGTATTGCACTGGCAGAGCACACAAGTTTTTCATTCTCCAGCAATTCACAGATTACAGGCTTTCCTGCATATTCATTGACAGAAAACCCAGGTATTCAACTGAGGGTACACTTGACAGGAAGCTGCCAATATTGGTTCTCAGCAGCACGGGCTGTATATGTTTTTCCAAACATGTTTTTCTATACTGTATATGTTTTTCCAAACATGCATTTGTCTAATTCACACAGAGTGGTTTGGTGCACAGCAGAAAACCTAGTGCATGAACTGATCATGAAGAAGTCTCAGTCTACGTTATCTTCACTGAACTCAATGAGGCATACTCTGAGTAGTCATGTTTGTGGAAGTCTGACTTCCTGGCTGCAACAGAACCCTCTGAATCACCAACACAAAACAATGCATATTGTTTCTACCTCCACTTGATTGGGCCACAAATGCTTTTTAAAAAGATAAAGAAAATTATCAAAAGAGGAAACATCAATCAGCCCACAGGCCTTATGTTGTAAATTTGAATTTTCTCAAATTTAAAATGGAAGAAAATGTACTTTTAACTGTATACTGTACTTCTTTTATAGTAATATATTGTTCATTGTTTGGGGGCTTTAGGGGAAAAAGTAATAAATCCATTAAAACTAAGAGAAATTACATGGGGTTTGGGGGAATTTTACACATGCAAATAATTCACTCCAATATAAAGTTGCACAAAACTGCCCAAACAAAACTAGGAAGCTCATAACCAAAATATCTGCACATCAAAGGGATTTATTTTAAGAAGTTGGCCCTGGACACACAAATATAATTAGTATTAGGAACTTCCTGTAATGTTTATTTAAGAAAAAACACACTTAAAATTCACAACTTGGGAGTGTGGATTGCCTTTCTTCTGATATGGAGACAATGATCCAATTCAAAAATTTCCTGGAAACTTGCATCACTGCAAGATTCTGCATCCATCACTCCTTAGGGCCACCCTATGCACAAAGGCACAGATCCAAAAGAAGAGAAGGTTTTTAAACAAGGCCTACCCCAAACCATAATCAAATCGTGCATCACCCCAGAAACACATCGCAAAAAATCACCACCATGGGCACAAAGGCGTGGATCTAAAGCACAAATACGTACATGCGATTGTTACACAGAATGCCTCCAACTCTCCCAGACCCTCTACAGTCATGCAACTGTTTAAAAAGTGCCTCTCTCAACTTGGGGGTGGGGGCTGGGGTCCGAATCTGCACTTAGGCATTCGACGGGGGGCGAGTGTTTATTAGTCCACTTCCAGGTCATCCGAGGAGGAGACTGGAAAGAGTTTGGCGCCTTCGGAGCGGAAAGCCTGCAGCGCCTCTCCAACAGCAGGCCTACTGCTACAAGCCTAATGTTCCCGATTCCGGAGCGGGCGTGGCTGGAAGGAAGCGATCGCCTGGCAGCATTCAGACGTGCACTTCAAAATCACGTTCCCCGGCCACAACAGCCACAGGCTTAGTCGTAATCAATCTGGACAAAAGGGCCTTTCGCGCACGCACTGTTTGAATGCCAGGCTCCAGCATGGGAGAAAAGTGAACCGCCCAAGAGACTGTGGAGCAGGCAGGCCAGGAGGCTGGGCCACGCGGATTCCCCAGCAAAACCCCCACGCCTCCACCCACTCTCCGCGCGCACCGGCCGTACCTCTCTCACCGGGCAGACGGGCGAGTCTTTGCGCAGCTTCCGCGCCGCCTCCGCCGCTTTGCTTCTGCTCCGAGCAGCCACCTCCACTCGCTCCGCCCGCTCGCAAGCGCTGACGTGCTGCTCTGCTCTTCCCTCTCCAAGCAATACGCAGGAAAACCCACAGGCGACGCTTCGGTTTCGTTTCCGCTGCTCTCCTGCCATAGAGCGAGAAACAGGCCGGAATTGCAACCCCGTAGACTTGCGGGGAAATGGAGGGACGATCCCATTCCCTCGGGGTGGAATGCCTTGGTTCCTTCTAACGATTTGCGGGAGGGTTAGCCGTGTTGCAGCAAAAAAAGGCTTGCATATTTATTATGGCATAAGCTTTCGTGGACTGCGGGCCACTTCATCAGAAGCGTGACATGGCATTTTTAATAACTATCCTAAGCTTGTGTGTCTATATCTTTGCAATCAGCGAGATTTGAGCTGTTTGCATTTAATTTCCTGTAACCCAGGTTTCAACCCCATCAGTGCTAGGTGTATAAATATTACTCAAGAGAATGCTTCCTGTATCTGATAGAATTGGCTGTAGTTCCTGAAATCTTGTGTTTCGGTTCCTTCTGAAACATACTTTTCTCTGCTCAGGCCCACAGAAAACCAGAATTATAGCTCAGTCTACAGGGTACCCACAGCAACAAAACACAGGGAAGATGCACTTAATGAACTCAGATATAATTTTGCGTGTATTGTTTTGTGTGCAAAATGTTTATGTTTGTGTTTAAATGTTTCAAAAATAACACTGCCAACGACAATGTTCTCCATACTGAATGTATGAGAAGTGGCTATGCTGAAGAGTGGCTCACAGCAGCCCCGCAAAAGGGGATCCAACCTCAACTTAAAATCCAGTTGGGACCAACCCAAATATCACAAAAAGGTGACAAGCCTCCAGAATTCGTCTTCAGGCAAGATGTTGCACAAAGCAAGGGATAAGAGGGACAAGTAAAAATGCAAAAAGAACCAAAGAATGGACTAATGTTGTAGACATGTAATTAGTTTATACTCCTAAAAATATGGAGGATCCATCTCGACACACTTAGATGACATTTTTATTGAGCCCATTTTAAATATTGTCCAACTGTGGATTCTGAATGCTTTTTGTATGGAGCAACACGACTACCTTTGCAATGCATGTGCCTCGAACTACAAAGGGTATTATGGCATATTAAAGACTAACACTTTTATGGTAGAACTTTTGAAGGCTTCATCTGATGCAAATAGGGCGTGCGTGCGTGCGTGTGTGTGTGTGTGTGTAAAAGCAGCGAGGTTGGGAAACGAAGTGCCAAAAGTACAGACAGTGAGAATTCAGTTAGAGCCGACTTGTGGGCAAAAATAAGCGTAGAGACCTTTTTTAAAAACAAAACAAAACACAGTAGTGCTAGATGCCCAAACAAACAGCTTGCTAATTCGGAGGCGACTTAACATCCTCAACGGGGCCATCAACGAGTCTATTATTCGAAGCATAGAGATAGAAAGGGTTAGCATCGCACAGCTTCCATTTCCGGGAGAGAAAAAATGAAAACCGCCATTAGCTGTGATTCCCTAAGCGGGCTCAGAATGGCGCCGCTGCCTCCCTTTGGCATATCTATAGGGAGCCCGCACCCCTTTACATCGGAAGGGAGAGCCGAAAGATGGTTCAAATTGCGGACCAGGAAGGCTAAGAGGGGCTGCGGCGCAGTTGTGCGAAGGGTTGTGGAGCATCTCTAATGTCTCCTGGCTCAAGTTGTGGGCTGACTCACACGCTCGGCCAACTTCCGGCTGAATTTGGCGAGTTTCCATCTGACGGGTTCGCTAAGGGGGGGAAGCAGCAAGCTGGGACTGCGCCGGAGTCAATGGGACCATCGACGCCTGCAGTCGGTTGAAATGATGGATTTGGGTGGGTGGATTTCTGCGAGGGCAGTTTAACGAGACAGTTGCAATCCTAGGTGTGTTTTGAAGGGGGCTTTTTGGAAATCCAATCCAGTCATCGATAGAGATTGATGAGATCAGGGCGGATTTTTAACTGGGATGGGGAATATTTTACAGCAGTATTTTTAAAACAACACCATGCCTGCTTTTGGGTGTAGTGCGGTGGTTAGAGAGTTAGGACTTGGTTTGGGGACCAGGTCCAAATTCGGGAGTGCCCATAGCTCGCTTGCTTTGCATGAGGAAGGTTCCAGGTTCCGTTCCCCAGCATCTGTATGTAGGGGTGGGAATAATCCTGCTCGAAACCCTGGGAATCCTCTGCAAGGCAATGGTGACTGCGATTAGCTCAATGATCCAAGAGTTTGACTCGTGTCTAAGGCAGCTTCCTGCCCCTGTTCAGCCATGAAGACGTGGGCACAGTCATTCTCTCTGAGCCTAATCTGCCTTACAAGATTGTTGTGAAAATATTTTTCAAGAAAAGAAAAGGAGGGGTGAGAAAACCATACAGTATATGCTGCCCTGAGCTCCTTGAAGGACAGGGACGATATAAATTAAAAAATAGTAATTTCCAGTTGCCTTTATAGGGAGGTGCATGTACTGTAGTCTTTATTCACTGCAGGTCTGCCTTATATTCTCCCCACACCCCCAAAAAAGAAACCCACTTTGTGGTTGTAGAAAACACTTCTCATAATTAGCTTCGAAAGTTGTTGGTTTTTAATACAAAGTTTAATGAATGATAAGAGAACATGAAGCTGTTAAAACTGTTCATAGCCCCCTTTTGGTGGGGACTATTAGGTGTTTGGAAGTGCTAAATGATTTGTAATTGCACATTAGCATTAATTGAAGTATTTGAATTTGTAACCAACATTGCACTGGATGCAGCTGAGAGTAAGCTAACTTTTCATATTTCTGATGAAGTGTTTTTTGTAACTTGCCATCTTGCATCCAACCAAAGCAGGAGTGATGCCTAGTTTGTATCTCTTGTATACTTACAAGTTTTACTGTGTTTTCCACAGTTTCACTTCTTCAGTTGGTGGGGAAATTTATTTGAGAGCAGTGCCTTGTTGTTGATGGAGGTAGAATGCTAACACAACAAAACACTAATGGTCTTCCCCCCCCCTAAATAGATAAATAGAAGACAGCAACATGGTTGAAAACTCACCGGCCCCATTGCCAGAAAGAGCTATATATGGCTTTGTTCTGTATTTAGGATCCCAGTTCCTATTTAGTAAGTATATTTCTGTGTTCAGTAACTCATTTTAGCCCAATCCTCCTTCTACAGTTGTGACTGCAATCCCAGAAGACACCTTGGGCAACCTGGTTATTTCACCTTATAATCAACCACTTACACCCTTTCATAGTTCCAAGACTTTAAAGTGTGATGGTAAGGAGGATGTCAATACTGAAAGCAAAAGTGCTTAGGGATCATGACCAATTAGGCATGCTGGGTTGAGTCTCTGCAAGGGTTGCTAGACCTCTTGAGGAGCCACATATAAGATTGTACTGTAAAGGTAAAGCTCATTGATTTCATTATGACTTATTCCCAGATAAGTGAGCATAGGATTGCATTCAAATCTGTGGGAATTGCTTCCAGGTAGTCATGCACAGAATCTAAAGGAACAGGTTACAGGGAAGCCTTCTTCTGAATCCTCAGTTTTATGTGTTGTACTTTGCCTTCATTTGAAAGCACTTGACCAATATTCTTATTGTTCTAAAACATGCAGTCCTTTGGACTTGTCTTGTCATTCAGCCATTTGAATAACTTTAGCTCTTCACTGTTGGAAGCTGTTAAGTGGCCAGTGATGTCTGATAGACTTCCCCCTTCTCTGCACAATAACCTAACCCTATTCATTTTTACTTGAAGTAAGTCTATTGCAGCACTGTAGTGGTATTTCATCCAGATAGATATTAGCCAGATCAGAATCTCATAACCAGCAATAACAGACTTTCCAGTGACAGCCAGGCCATAGATGCAAGCTTGGCTACTTTGTTGTAGGAGATCATATCACATCTGCCATTGCACTTTTCTTCTTGTTTTATGCAGTGCTGTACCTTGTCTGGGCCTATATACCTGAATCCTGGCTGTTCTCATGGGGGTTAACATACTGGCCTCAAAAGTAGGTTTGAATAATTTTTCACACTAAATGTCTTTCATGTCTGTAGACCTCAGCTAAATAGAGAATAATGGTTTCTGTACATTTTGCCTTATATCTCAAGTTCTACAAATACTGGAAACATACTTTTTTAAAAAAAAATGAAAGCTGAGAATTCAAGGAAGGGGGGAGGCTGCAAAAAAACAAAAAATCTTCCAAGAAAGTGAAAATTGCCACATCCTGTGCCAGCAAACTCCATAGATTAACCATTCTTAATCAAGTCGCTCTTGTGAGATGAGAGATGGAGAATCATTTTGGGAACTCTTGCTCTACTGTTTGGGTGTTAACCAACTAAGTCATGCTCTGAATAGAACCACCGAAATCAGTAGACCTACTCAAGAGTATGATTGCCATTAGATACCAACACTTGTTAATTTTTAAAATTTCTATCCTGTCCTCTGCCCCTTTTGACTTGTTTACAAAATTAAAAGGCACCAAACTTGCCCCACAGGGAAGCTACTCCAGCCTCACTCATGCTCTTTGCTGTACCATTTTCTCCAGCACTACACCATTGTCTTTGAAATGTGGCCTTACTTCACTTAGTGCTTGAAATGATTTCTGCTGTGTGTTTTCTTGTGCATACAACTTTACTTAAGGTAACTGTTTTTACCTCCATTTCATAGGTTCTGGGCTGTCGCTTTGCCTGTCTACCTTTTAGTTAGCGTGGGAATAGCCTATGTACTCCTCTTTGGTATTAACATGATCAGTACTGCTCCACTGAATTCCACACACACCATTACAGGTAAGGATGCTGACAAGGACTGCAAGTAATACACTCATAATACTATTTTTAGCTACTCACAATACAGTCGTGTCTTGGTTTTCGAACAGCTTAGTTCTCAAACGTTTTGGCTCCCAAATGTCGCAAACCTGGAAGTGACTGTGCAAACTATTTTTGGAAGCCAAACATCTGACGGGGGTTCTGCAGCTTCTGATTGGCTGCAGGAGCTTACTGCAGCCAATCAAAAGCCGTGCTTTGGTTTCTGAACATTTTGGAAGTTGAAAGGGTTCCGTTTGACTTCCAAGGAACGACTGTACTTGTTTTTATTGTGGGACTTGTGAGCGCTGGGGCTGAATAGGTATTGCATGGTTGACCACATCTTCTCCTGATCCCCCACAACAGTTTGCAAAGGGCAGTGTAAAAACATACACCTAAAAGAACAGAAAGGAAATCAGAACATTATAAAAAAAGAGAAAACTTTGGTCAAAACGGTATTACCCTACAATAGATGTGCAAAAGAGTTAATAAAAGCATCAAGATTTCCGTGGGCAATGCTGGTGTGATCCTGCAACTTGTAGCCCCCTCTTCAAACAACCTGCACCTATACTTTATTATAGTTTAAAATATCTACTCATGGGTCTGGTTCGTACATGCATGTACTTGTAGAGTAAGTTTTATCATCAGTATGCTTTTTGTCATTTGCATTTGTAAGAAATTACTCTCATCAACACATGCTGCTTGACACATAGATAAAAGGCTTTCCACTGAATTAACTCAAGAGTTTCCGCATTCCATCAATAGATTACGACATATCACATGATACCTTTCCTACTTTGCCCATCATAGAGTTGATCTATATACTGAGGGAAATGGCACATTACTGGCCTACTTGAAAATGCGAGTGGGGAATCATTTCTGGTATTAAACATTTTATGTCCTGCCTTTCCACAGTTCTTCAAGGCAGCTCAAAGCACCAGCGTATAACAATTTCATACAAGAAAACAAATTTAAACATGAATACTAGAACTGTGGATGTTAAAACCTAAAATAGCAAAACCAATTCACAATCTTAGTTTAATTTAGATGATAGATAAATAGATGATAGATAGATAGATTCCACCCTTAAGGAGAGCATCCAGGCTTGTTTAAAAAATAAATAAAATTAAATACTGTGTTAAGAGGGTGAGATTTAAAAGCCAGGGAGAATAAAAGCAAAAAGATTGTAGTGTTGGTTCCAGGTACACCTCTGTGGGATAGAAATTTCACAAATGAGGTGCTGCTACTGAGAAGGTTTTAATCATCCACCTTACCTCTGATGGTGGGGACACTTGGAGGTGAACTCCAAGTGTAGTTGCATCTTGTGTCTCCACACAAGATCCGGGAAGCCCACATGAGAGTATCCCAGAGTTTGGTAAGCAAGTCAGAGAGATGAAAAGCTCTTTCTATGCCAGGAAAACCCGGCACAAAAGGAGCTTTTAAGTTTTCTGCCTTGCATGCAATTTATTTGTGGGATTTCAACCAGCCTTCTGGAAGGTATGGTTTAAATGGCAAGTGGGTTCTTACGGAAAGAAGCGTTGAATGGTTTCCCTACCTTTTAAAAAAGTCCTTCCTTGCAGAAGCTACCATATTGGAAAGATGAATATCTTAGACTACACTTAGTGGAAGCAAAACATTAAATTATCCACCCCACTGCCTGCATTTTGAAGTGGTACAGTCCCCAAAGGATTATCCCACTTTTTCTGAATATATAGGTCATTCCTTAGTCTCTGGGACTCACATGGTAAAGCTGTATGCTGATTTTGTACAGTGGACTGCAAGGTTTTCGAATTTGGAGTAGATGTGCTAGCTTATCAGAGGAATCATTAATATATCTTGCTGTAAAACTACTTCCTTGTGAAAAAGTATTTTCTTTAGTATGACTAAAGCATGACGTATCTTATTTTTCCTTACATTTTCTACAGACCACTACGCAAAAAATCAGAAATGGAAAAAACCACAAGAAGATGCTATCCCTGCATTAAGAGATATTCCTATCAGTGAAGTAAACAAAATGTTTTTCTTGTCTGACACAGAAGACTGCCCTAGACACTAACTGAAGAAAAAGCATTTTTTTATAAATAAATAAAATAACCAAACTTATTCATATGGGAAAGATTTATGAATTCCTGAGTTGAGGAGGCTGCTTGGTAATGAAGTGCTAAAATGCTTGACTTCAGTGAGATTATGTGAAAGTGCCTCAAAAATATGGATGCAGTACTAATAAAGCATCTTTCAAGGACTGGGTGTCTTGCTCCACCTGGTCCCCACACAAGCCAAGTGCCATTTATCCTCAGCCTGTGCTCTTTACATCCAAAAAAAAAAACCAAACCACACACACCACAAATATATCTGAGCAAAGGGCATGTCATTTTTACCTTAACAGAAGCTGTGTGTCTCTTAGTTCTCCCATGCTGTGACAAACCTTTTTTTTTTAAAAAAAGAAACTGCCCAGAGTGGCTGGGCCAACCCAGTCAGATAAGTATGGTACAAATAAATTAAAATAATAACAACAGCTGTTATTATTATTATTATTATTATTATTATTATTATTATACCCTCATATCACTTTCCCTCATGCTTCTGTAAAAGCAGTGAACCAAGAACGCAAAGCAATTTTGTGTTATTGTCCTCTCGTTGGAAAGTAAAATTTGCAGAATCTGGTAAGGCCTAAAAATCAGAACTTGTTTTCTAATCAGGATGCTCCCCAAGTTCTCAATAAGCGGCTATCCTGCATCAACTCTACAGATATCTCTGTAAACTAGATCCTTTGAATTTATGTGAAACACCTGTGTACTACAGTGTTGAAAAAGCTGAAGATAATCTCTCAGCTCTAAAGCTATCAATTAGTGCTGCTTTAGGGGAAAACTGCACAAGATCCTACTCTGATTTCCTGTGTCACATCAACTGATACCCACGTTGATAGTGATATATATATATATATATACACACACACACACACAACCCTAACCTTATTTTGTTTGGCAAAACTGCAATACTTGTGCCAATGTAAACCACTTAAGAACAAGAAAAATCATTGATCCCTTTGCTTCCTAAATTATGCCCTTATCCAAGCAACCCTAACTTATCCACTGTTTTGTTCCATAAACAATTCTGCAAAATCATTCCTGTGAAACATACACCTTGTCCAAAATGCACTTTCTTCAGCTGCCACTCCTTTTAAACTGACTTTGAGGCATTTACTGATGATAGAAAAATACTGCTCCCTTTCCCTTATGGCGTATCTAAGAGCCCCTATAGAGTCCTTAAGTTCCGTAGGTTCTCTGTCAGTAGGAGAAAATAACACAGGCCAATCAGAGAATATTGAGAAGCAAAGCAGCTAGTGTTACAGGAAAAATCCGAGGGCTCTCTTGGACAAAAACAAAGACACCAACCAGGATAACTTGGAGCAAAACAGCAGCCTGTAGGCTTGGCCTTTATTGAACTGATGCATCAGGGTGTTCCCCTCACTTGCAGGAGAGAGGAAAGACCCAGAACAATGGCCTGCAAGACCTTATAAAAACTTTTGAAATTCCCCTCCTCCAGGTCAAGCCCACCCCCAGAAACATCATGCATACATTACAGAAGGGGTTGACATCATGCATACATTACAGAAAGGAGGGGTTGAGGGAGGAGTTGTGGTGGTAACCTGAGTGTCCAGTCACCTAGCTGGTTCCTCCTTTCCCCCTCCCCATGAGTACTTTCCAGGTGACAAAGGGGAGTTTGCAGTTTCCTGCCCCCAGAGGGAAGATCTGATCATTGTCCTTTGTTTCAGTCTGTGGTGAATCCACTACCATATGCAAGTTCTTTGTCATTTTGATTGTCTTCTGTCTGGGATTATCAAGGCTGACATAGCAACTGGGCAGGGCTCCTGTGGATGTGCTGGGATGGTGAAGGGATTATGGCTGACCAGAAACCAAGCCACCCCCCTTTGATAGTCCTTGTCACATGGAGTAAAAAATGGAACAGTGCAAATCCGATGTATGGTTGATTTTCTATGAATTTATAACAGAAATGTGGCGTATGTAGTGTGTGTGAGTGTGAGTGTGTGTGAAGTTTGTGCAAACAGAATGATTGGGGTGGGGGGTTTCCTGCTACACTAGTAAGCATGATCTTTATTAAACTCTTGCAACAGGGTCCCCCACGCAGGGAGGGAGGAGAAGAACCCAGAACATTGGTGTGCAAGCTCTTATACTGACTTTTGAAATTGCCTACCCTGTAGCTCTAAGGGACGTGGGTGGTGCTGTGGGTAAAACCTCAGTGCCTAGGACTTGCTGATCGTAAGGTCGGAGGTTCGAATCCCCACAGCGGGGTGCGCTCCCGTCGCTCGGTCCCAGCGCCTGCCAACCTAGCAGTTCGAAAGCACCCCTAAGTGCAAGTAGATAAATAGGTACCGCTTTATAGCGGGAAGGTAAACGGCGTTTCCGTGTGCTGCGCTGGTGCTGGCTCGCCAGAGCAGCTTCGTCACGCTGGCCACGTGACCCGGAAGTGTCTTCAGACGGCGACGGCTCCCGGCCTCTTGAGCGAGATGAGCGTGCAACCCTAGAGTCGGTCACGACTGGCCCGTACGGGCAGGGGTACCTTTACCCTGTAGCTCTAGACCACCCCCCAAAAGATCATACATACATCACAGAAAGAGGTGGTCCCCAGCAGATATTTGAAAGTGTTGCTTCTATCCTGTCTGCCAGGATACCTGATAATGCCTTATCTGATTGCCTTTTCTGGGTAGCCTGGCCATTCCTTTGAGATGGTAAATACTTAGTTCCTGAATCTCTTACACAGGGGTAATCACAGGAATCAGTGTGTTTTTACATGAGTAGAACGTGTCCTTTTATTTAAACTGCATCTCTGGGTTATTTGTGGGGCATAGAAATACGTTCCTAAAAAAAAAAAATCCGGCTCACCATATGGTCTGAGGGACGCCTGAAAAAGGTTGCTGACCCCTGCTCTTATGCATATTGATAGTGTGCTCAGCTTAACAGATAACTTGCTAGACTGTATTTACAGGGAGGTGTAAGCCTCTACAGTCCAAAGACAATTGGAAAGCTTTCCCCCTTCCTCCTTGCAGAGAAATATTTGAGGACAATTTGGGAGAGTACAATTCAAAATTGTTCTCTTGTACTATTTCAGACAGGGACGCGGGTGGTGCTGTGGGTTAAACCACAGAGCCTAGGACTTGCCAATCAGAAGGTTGGCGGTTCGAATCCCGCAATGGGGTGAGCTCCCGTTGCTCAGTCCCTGCTCCTGCCAACCTAGCAGTTCGAAAGCACGTAAAGTGCAAGTAGATAAATAGGTACCACTCTGACGGGAAGGTAAACGGTGTTTCCGTGAGCTGCTCTGGTTCGCCAGAAGTGGCTTAGTCATGCTGGCCACATGACCCGGAAGCTGTCTGCGGACAAACGCCGGCTCCCTCAGCCAATAAAGCGAGATGAGCGCCGCAACCCCAGAGTCGTCCACAACTGGACCTAATGGTCAGGGGTCCCTTTACCTTTACTATTTCAGACACATGGTTTATATATACTTATATATATATGTGAGCCTTGTACATTTATGAACATTTATTTTATATATATATAAGACCTTAAAATTCCTATAACAGATTCAAGTTACAAAAAAGATTCTGACTAAACATCAGGAAGAATTTTTTGACAGAAAGAGTTGTGCAGCAGTGGAACAACTTTCCATCCTTGGAGGTTTTTAAGCAGAGGTTGTATGCACTGGCGAAGGAAGAGGAGTGGGGGAGCCCACTGCCCCCAGCAGCGCGATCCTGGTGGGGTACCATCACGGCTGCCCCCCCACTCAGTGCTACGCCCCCGCAGGCAGTGTGTCAGGCCCCCAGGACGTGCACCAAGCCCCTGTGGGTGGCATGCCAGCCCCTCCCCCGCCTGTCGTCTGCCCCCCCCCCCGCCAGAGCATGAAGCTCCGCCACTGGTTGGATGGCCATCTGTCATGGATGCTTTAGTTGTGATTCCTGCATTGCAGTGGGTTGGGCTAGATTACATTTGGGATCCCTTCCAAAACTATGATTCTTTCTGCTTTACTTGGAAATAAGTTAAACTGAATTCATTTGGGCTCTCAAATATTGGACATTTCCCAGGGATAAGTCAACCTATTAATTGCAAGCAAGTGTTTGTGTGTGTATAGTTGTAGGCACTGCTTCCAGCAATGCAATGCTATCTGTGCTTGTAGATAGGTAATCTATCTTGCTTGCTTAAAGCTTAGTTGGATTGCCACCTAAGAACTTTGTGCAGATAAAAAGACAGTGTGATAAATAGACATGCGCAAAAAGCTTCTGTGCTTTCAGTTTCCCTTGCTTTAAATAGATTTACAGAAAGTGGTTCAGCTTATTGGAAGCAGAGTAGCTAGGTTTCGAATTATGAGCATGAACGGATGCTGTTTTCCCCCAGCACCAAAAATCCTCCCAAAAAACCACCCCAGAAATCCTTTTTTGGCAGCTTTCCTGTCCAATGAGGAGCAGGAAAAGCCAAGAGAGGATTTATAATTTGTCCTAATCTTAGATAGACGGGCAGCATTGAGGAGGCAGGAGGGAAGCGAACACTTCACCAAAGGTAAGCTCTGGAATTCTCACAAGCAGGCAGAAATCCTCCCGCGGTCGGTCCCCCACCCCACCCCCAATATTGAATGTTCATTTTCAAAATATTGAAAAACCAAAATGGTTTTCAGCTGGGAATAGCAATAACTTAATGCTGCAATGTTTTAATATTTAAAATGTTGCTCCAGAACATCCCTCCAGTGTTATCTGTTCCAATAAATTCTACACAATAAGGGGGTCTGCATAACCTGCAACGATTATAGAATTGCTTGCGAGTCAAGCCTCTTTTTTATCAGTGGAATTTACTTCTTCCAAGCGATGTACGCTTAGAAATTGTCACAAGGAAAAGGCTAGTGTCTCATTCCAAGGAACTGGGTCGAGATTTTATACATCTCTTTATGGGACATTTCCATCCTCCTTCAAAAAGGTTTTGTTTGTGCAACCACGGATTGACTGCCTCCCCTACGGCCCGATCCGATGCGGATTGGCGCGCTCAGAAGCCAAATTTTTCACAGGACCGATCGGAGACAGAATCGTGGGCAGCGCGCACGTGTACGAGAAAAAAACAGAGGAAGCGCAATACATGATTCTAGATACATGATAACAGAGCAGGGAGTAACATCAAATGTGGATGCGGAACCCGGAAATGAAGGACGAAAATGCAAACTTTTATAGAAAATAACGTATGTATGTATGTATGTATGTATAAATAAATAAATAAATAAATAAAAAGCATCCGTCCCTCCCCATCCAAAGACAGTCTAGGCTTTTCTGAATTCTGCTACAGACATAGCGCAAAGAAGTAGCAAGAGGATAGAGAAGCTACAGCGCGGCTATATGGCGCTTCCGGGTCTTTTACGCCTGTTCGTGCCTGGAACCAACAGCAAGAGAAGGGAGGGGTGGAGACCTCCGGACCAATCAGCAGTCCTGTTATCTTCGCGTGAGGAGGGCGGGACAGCCAATCACGGCGGCGTCGGCGTTGGCTGCTTCCCCCGCCACTCCCCGCACCCTCTCCGCAGCCGCTGAGGTACGGATGGGGGCGGGCGCGTCGGTTGGCGGTTGGAGCCCCTCAGGCGCGTCGCCCGCGCGCCATGCTGATCACGCTCTGCTACTTGTACTTGTGGGCGCGCTGGGGGGCCTCTTCGGCGGGGCTCATCCGCCGCACGGTGCGCAGGCTGTACAGGACCCGCTGCTCCTTCACCTTCTCTACCTCCTCTTCCTCCAGTCCCGGCTGCCCTCGCCAAACTCCGCAGCACCAGCAAGCTGCCCACCATCCGCTTCGCAGGCAGGGGCCCCGGCGCCCCCCGGAGGAGGAGAGAGTCTGCCTGAGGGTGGGGGACAAGGTCTTCTTCACTGACGAGACCCAGGTGTGAGGCGGGAAGGGAGGAGGAGGAGGCGCGGCCCGTGGCGCGCCCGTTTCGCCAGGTGTACATAAAATGGATGGGCAGCGGGTGGTCCTCCAGTTGTAGGACACCTCAGCCCCGACCAGTTTGGCCAGTAGTCGGGGATGGTGGGAATTGGGGTCCAGTCAGGTATGGAGGACCACAGGCTTCCCACCCCTGATGTATAGGATAGGGGTAGGGAGATTATATATCTCAACACAAGTGTAGGTTATTTGGACGGGGGAGGGAGTTATTATTACCATGTTTATGTCCCACCTTTTTTTCCAAGCCAGTGGCTCAAGGTGGCTTACAGATGAAATAGAAACTGCTTTTTTTTTTTTAAAGTACATTTTAATACTCTGGGGTTTCTGGCCCTTCAACCGCTGGAGGATAGGCAGAAATTAATAGGTGCAGCTGTCCTTAGATTGGGGAGGGTGCAACAATATGGTGACACATATTTGTTTTATTTATTTAGTTTTGTTTATATGTTATGTTTATATGTTTATAGCCTGCCTTTCACTTGAAAGGCCCCAAACTTGCAAACAAGAATGTTGCAGTTTAAAAGCGACTCCTTATAAAGCAGTTGTTTCTAAAGAGAAAAAGCAGGTACCGGTAACTAAGATTAGATATAGCAGCAGCAAGTTAATTGAAGATTACAGGTGATAATACGTGAAAGCTCTGGAAAGCCTATTTTCACCCGATGTCTAAATAGTAAGAATAATCAAAAGCACATTTGAGAAAGGAAAAGCATGCTTTTAAAATTTCTAACCTGTAAAAAGTACAGGGATGCTTCGTATGTTAAGTAGTGTTATTTCTTTATATATACAGTACACCCACCCACCCCGCAGCCACATTTAATGGAGATGTGATTACTCCCAATTGTTTGGTGCATGTACCAGTGAAATGCATGCAGTGGCAAAATCATGCTTGTATGTGCTTGTGTGTGTTAATTATGTATTAATACAGGCTGCTTTGTGTATATAATTTAAAAAGTGTAATGTGTGACATGACCCTAAATATTTTGGTAGGATAAAAGATGGAAACCCTAGGACAATGTTAACTACAACACTGAGGGAGCAATTCAGCATTGCAGTGTTTCAAATATTTTGGTGTAAGCATTTCTGTTTGCCTGACATAATTATTTCCCCTCTTCTCCCCTTGCCTGTCACTCTAGGTGTTCTCCTAACCCCACAAGCTAGTTGGTGAGGGAAGCCCTGTTGTGCTAGTGGAAGACCTGAATATAGCTAAAAACGTGTACAAATAAAAATATGCATTACAAATCATTAAAACACAGATACATATATTCTGAAGCTTAAACCTTCTGTTACCAGATTGCAAAGTTTGGGTAATTAAAATTGTATTCAACTGACATCTGAAAGCTGCAGGTAGAGCTCCACCCATATTAAGGATTGAGTGGCTGGTATTGGAAGATTAGCTTCTGTAGATGTTTGTTTCCTTAAGTCATTTAGCACTGACTCATTGAATCAATGTCACAGTGCACAAGTTGCCAGTGCAAAACTTCAGTGTTACATGAGATCCCATATTCCTGTCCAAGTTAGTAACCTGGCAGCCTTATTCTGCACAAGCTGCAGCTTTTGGACTGTTTTCAAGGACAGTCCCATGTGATGGTATTATGCTTCATCAACAAAGTTTGCTCTACATTGTTATGCTGGCATAAAACAGTGGTTTTTCTTCTGGAGCAGAAGTCATTGTGCCTCATGTTGGAACAGTTTGCTCTACATTGTTATGCTGGCATAAAACAGTGGTTTTTCTTCTGGAGCAGAAGTCATTGTGCCTCATGTTGGAACAGTGGCTGATAGGATTGCACATTTAACTGTACATTGTGAAATTAAGCAAAACATCCCTTGCGGTCAGCACTCGTGTCCTTCAAAAATGTGAAATATTTTAAAAATAAACATATAATAAGATGAAATCTGTTAGCCTGATGTTTGGATACAATTGATTTATTGCATATGATCAATCTGAGAGTTAAAATCAAACAAGCAGAAATTTAGTGTATGTAAAAGCGGATGTAAAATTGAAGAGTTAAGTAAAACATTTAGGTTGCTATCTTAAGTATATTTAGAAAGGCAAAAAGCTGCATACAGTATACGCGAACTACCACTGCAACTCAATTTGTGGACTATTTTGTTTGACGTATTTTTTGTAATCTTGTTAATTCTTTAAAACATTATTTTAGTTTCGTAACACGTAAAGCGGCCCCTTGGTGGCTATTATGTCACACTCTGATCTTTAGACAGTCATAAAGTACAAGAGAGTGCAGTCCCAACACTCCTTATTGGAATTGCTAGTGTTAAGATATGACTAATTTCCACTCTCAGTTGCCAGTGGCATGCATATAGGGTTTTCATGATAAAGACTAACACTTTAACTAACAAAGAAGTAGATTACCTTCCTATACATGTTGGACCTTAAGGTGTTGTAAGATGCCATCAAAGGTGTGGGATTCCAAAAATGTATATGGTATGACACACCAAGTATAGGAGAGGATTCTCTTTAGCCGCTGGTTGGCTACAGTGAGAACACGTTGCTGGACTAGATGGGCCTTTGGTCTGACGAAGCAGGGCTCTTTTGTTTCAGTTGGATCCAGATAGAGCAAAGTGTAGTGAAGTTAGTCTTAACTGTTGTGTTTTCCTGAAATTACATATCAGAGCTCAATTTGGGGAGGAAGAGGTAAGCTTCCCAAAATGTTGTTAAGCATCTCTTTTCCCCTCTCTTTTCCAGTCTGTTGATGATTTAAACAAATGGACGTTGCTTATTGTATCGCCTTTTCATTATTTGGATAAAATATTGGAAACAGAACGTATCACATTTCTAACTGAAAGTATTTCCATTCAAGCAGGCAGTTCTCAGGCTGTAAATTGCTCAGCAGAAAAGGTCAGTATGTTCTGTAATGGTTTTGGTTTTATTTTATTTTTTCATAAGATTTTATTAAAGCTTTTTTATAATACAATAAGATAAATGAACCTAATCTAGATAAAAACACAAATAGAGAAAGAAAAAGAAAAGAAAACTCAGTCCTCTCTCTTTGGCTCTGATTTCCTCATAGAGAACTTGAACCTTTGCTAAGCTGAAATCCTTCCAAAGTATCCTGCTTTGCCACAGGATTCAGAATTTGTCAGAAACCAGTGCACGCTCCTAAATTCCTGTATTCCTAGGCAAAATGCACAGCTATGGATATGAATGCTACATAATTAAAAAAATATCTGGGAAATATGTTGTGATTTTTTTCTTCAGATTGTGAAGTGGTCAGACTATTGTTCACCTTTGGCCTTCAGACCTGGCGAACCTTACATATTATTTGCTGAAACAAGCATAGATAACTTCAGTAGCCTTGGGATAGCATTCATGGAAAATAGACTCCAAATGGATAATGGAATGAAGCCTCAAAAAATTGTGTGTAAGTATCTTTATAATTAATGTGTTCCATTGCAGTGGCCCACAAAGCGACTTAGACCAACATAACTTAATTGATATTCTGTGCAAGAAAACGGGTAGGGTCCATCCTTCTGTCTGTTAATTGTAGTTCCATTATTTATATCATTTACTAGGTGCATATTTTGTGAATTTAAGGCCCAGTCTTAATATTGCTAGGTCAAGATTATGTGCTGTCAACTTCAACACAACATACTTATGACAAACAACCCATTTCTACACTTTTCACTGAATTCAGTGCTTGGGGTTGGGACTTTTTATACATCCAATACATTACATATTGAAACAATAATCAATCAATAATGACTGGCCACTGTGTAGATGGGTGTCATAAATGGCAGAGATAATAGGACTCATTGATACATCTGGAGAGTAGTAGAGGGCTAGATGTCATAGACAATCATACACCACACCATAAAATGCTTTCCTCAACTTTGATGACATCAGCTCCCACTCTCAGTAACTAGAAGTAATTTACTCTAGGGAACAGGGCAGTTATGTATGTACAGTAGTGCTCACTATAAGGGGAGAGGCTGTAACTCTGCATTGGTATAGCCAGTGGTCGGGGATGATGGAAGTTGTAGTTTGACAGTATCTGGAGAGCCACAAGTTCTAATGGTGTTCTTGTCTAATGGTGCAGTTTTATATTTTGAACTTGACTTGTTGCCCAAAATGTTGGGCCATCATTGAGTTCATTTATTATTATTAGCATTAGCATTATGAATTGTGTGTTAAAACGTGGAACTTTACTTGAGCACCTCTCCTATGAAATAGTTATTTGGTGTTCACACCATTCTTGTAAACATTTAATTTTTAATCTCTCAATTCAGTTATTTTGTTGATTGGGTAAGCTAATGACTGACAAGCATAAATCTAATTCTTATCCTGGAGTGTCTCTGGAGTGTAAAAAAGTTATAAATACTTAACCATCGCAAAGTATCCTCCAGATACTGGAGAATTTAAAAGTTCAGGTCCTCCTGGTGATGTCTATAATTGTACATTATTTAATAATGCAAAATCTAGTAACTGCTTTGGAATGCAAACCTTTCCTTTAAAAATGTTGTTTTTTAAGCATGCTTAGTTGGAGATGCATTGAAACTAGTGATTTCAATGCACCAGTAGTTGTGCAAGGTCTTCTACATTAATAGTAAGTGAACACAATGGACACAGATAGCAAATGGGAAAGTGCATTGGTATTTTGAGATGGGAAGGGATGACATTGTCATCCAGACTGCCATACTGATGAGAACTGTATCCATAATTTGTGCATCTGCATCCAGTCAGCACCACTTTTTTCTTGTACTTTGTAAGCAAATTTGTTAATTCAGAACCTACACGGATGCATATGAGAGCATAACCTCTGTCCATACACAGTTGTGTGCTGAACTGACCTGGTTGCTTATTCCTTCTGAAGGTCAGGTCACTGAAGTGTTCTTAGTTGGATATCCAAATATGAGACTCCAGAATTAACACATGCCAATCTTGACCTTTGCCACATGTTTTGGTTCACTTAATTGCTTAGCCGTACTTGTCCTCAGTCTAACTGCTAGGCGTTTTTCTTTTGTGTATGCGTACAATAGCTTATTGGCATAGGGTTTAAGTAAGACAGGCATTTTTTGTTAGGGCAAATGATGACTTCAGTCACCAACAGCTTAATCTGAAGATGTTCTTTGCAAGCACATAATTTTTTACCAACAGCTGCTCCATTGCATCATCATTATAACATAATGTTATATTGCATTGCAAACATGCTGATAGTAAAATGGAGACATGTCATCACAATTATTTAAGATAAGAACACCAGTTTAAGCTTATATTAAAGGCAGCATTATTCAACATTGCCATTATTATGCATTCTGTTTAATAACTTACTTTAAATATGTCAGCTGTTCACTTACAGAAGTCAGCGCTGGAAGAGTTAGAACAACTGGCTCCAAATACCCCAAAAGAGGGAAATACTAATAAGATGCCACTTGGTGAACTGACTCAAGGGTCTACTTTTAAGACTGATGCTAAACCAGAAGAGGAAGCTCTTGATTGTGCAGCAGGTGGCGATCAAGAAATGCAGAGATCAGCATGTAAATTGCAGAAAGTAAATGAACATCCTGAACAACTTGAGCAAATATCTGAAAAGGAAACAGGAACTGGTGAACATCACCACCTTCATCTTTCCAGCTGTCATGAGTGCTTGGAACTGGAGAATAGCACAATTGAGTCAGTTAAGTTTGCCTCTGCAGAAAACATTCCAGATCTTCCTGATGATTATAGTGGCAATTCCGAAGATGTTAGTGATAATCTGGCAGGAAACCTGAAAAGGGTAAACCTTACTGGGAAGCCTCCTAATATTTTAATTTACGTTGGTTCTGACCCTGGAAAAGTGAAGTTTGAGGAAATAAAATCACTCATCATGGAATGTGTAGATGTTAATGCTTATACAGTCTACCAGTTGTTAGAGAATCAAGTTATGAGCGTTCCATGGCTTGACAATGCATTGCTGTTGATTGTTGCTGCATCACACCCCATTTCAGATGATGTGTCCAAACAATTTCTTGCTTTTATGTCAAAAGGTGGGAAGATTTTGGGACTTGCTTCTTCTTTCACTTTTGGTGGAATACAGCTAAAAAGTAAAGATGAACTGATGGGCAAAATACAGGACTTCGTGTTTTCAACAGCAAAGAGCAAAGAGGTTAGACTAAATATTCTAGCTAGTGGGAAAGTTTTCGAGAGAGAAACTACAGAAGAATTAAGCCCCATGAAGCTACTAGGTTACTTGGGGAGTCCAGATAAAGATATGGTGATTGTCCATCTGCCCTATGGAAATGGTGGTGGAGAAGCCATTCTTTGTCAGGTATGGTAGACATAAGTTTTGTTTGCAAATGTTTTTCTCAATGTTTTCTTAAAGAATCCTGCTTTCTAGAAAATGACAGATTTGTAGGCAGATAGATTTTCCAAGAACATGTCTGTGAGTCTGCACTATAGCATTTCCACTGTTCCTTCTCTAGTAATAAAATTCCATATTATAGCCTCTTCATAAAAGGCAGTATCACCCAGTTCCAACATTCAGATTAAGTGATCTAGCATTTAAATTAATTTAAATTCTAGGCTGTTGGAAAAAATATTTTTGGGCTATTTTTAAACAAGATCAACAGTGATCTTAGCAAGTAAATATTCATTTTCACTGTAGTACCATTTCTGCTTTCTGTATTGTGTTAATGTGTAGTTGCTATAAAAAACAACCCAAGTAGCTGGTGATTGAAGATTATCAAGGTGCATCAGTGTAGTTGATTATGCAGTTAATGTAGTAATCCTGGGTTTTAAAAAGTGACTTTTAATACATTTGAAGGGTAATATTTCTGCCTTGTATTCACAGGCACATTTGGAAGTGAATGTCAAGGGTTTGTCTACTCAAACAAAGGATGACTTCAATTTGCTCAAAATGAGCAATGCCAAAAGATATGATGTTCTTACCGAAATCCTGACACTACTTCATTTGAGCTGTGATTTAAGTGAAGTTCCCCAATTAACTCCTATTTACTTGCTCTCATCTGATAAGGTGAGCCTTATTTAATTGTATTCAATTTAAAGGCAGCATTCAAAATGCCCAGTTGCTCACTTTGCTGTGGTTTCTTTCATACAATATTTTATTATTGGACAACAGTATGTCTTTGACTGCGTTAGTAATTGGGCATAATAAAGAACTTAAGTCTTGTGGAATAATTTTGCGAGCTATAGAAACCAGTGTTCCTTTTAACAGGCAGAAGTTAATGAACAAAAATACATAAAAAATAAAAGAGAGAAGGCTTGCAAGTATATTATGACTGAAGTTTTAGTGAACTGGAGCGCTTCCACAGCAGATCTTAAGGTTTAGGGGAAGAAACACAATCCGCATGAGAAACAGGTTGGAGTTCACCATATTCAAGATCAACTCAAGAGTCCACTTCATCAAATTCAACTTATATCTGAAGTGAATTCTACGTTGCGAACGCTTCATCCCATAAAAAATTTGTTAGCCTTTAAAGTGCTACATGACTGCTGTTTTTGTTACAATAGACTAACACAGCTATACCTTTTTTGGAGTGGGGTCCATGATGCCTTTTACTTCTGTGTGTTGTGGAAGCTTATATCCGCAGTTTACAAGTTTTATTTTTCCGTTGACTGAGTTTCTTGCATTTTTATGGAATATGATTTTATATAATCTGAAATGCTTTTCTGATTGCTAAGCTAAGATTGAATCATTACGTCTACACATTTTGAAATGTCTGAATAACATGACAGTAATTTAGATGTGGTTATGAAATTTTAGTCCATCATTCACTTGGTTTCAGTAAATCATGAATACAGTAGACAATAACATCAAATATATTAAATATATACTGATAATAGCATTAAAACAATGCTTTAATATGTTGAATATGTGCTTATATATGCCCATACAGTAACCTATATATAATTTATTTCCTTAGGTTATTGTATGTTTCCTGATGATCCTTCCTGTGATCAAATCATAAGTATCACAATCTAAAATGAGGGAATGGTACTATCAGACTGACAGTATGCCTTTGCAGTTAGCTTGGTGCAAGAGTAGAGGGGCTGTTCCTTGGGCCAACTTAATGAAATTAATTTGGATTCTGGCAAAACTTGTTCCTTTGCATCTATCTCTTGGAAAGCTTTTTAAAATTATTTATATCCAGCCATACTGTCTTTCTGACTTGTAATTCAATCACATTTTGGAAATTAATGCTTGTTTAATATAGGTATTTATTTTCAATGTAAATAGAGTTTCAGTTGAATTTGAGAAGGTTTTTAATCTTTAAAGGCAGTGTAAAATATTTAAATGACTGAATAAATTATTCAGAACATACTGTGTACAAATCTAAACTAGCTCATTTCAGTGTCTGCTTATACAGTTTTCTAGCACTTTTAACATTTATTATGGGTTTTGGGGGAAGAAACATTATGCCTCTGAATGCCAGTTGCTGGAAGTCACAAGTATGAAGAGTGCTCTTGCACTCATATTCCACTGGTGTGCTCCCCATTGACATCTGGTTGTTACTGGGTTAGATCAGCCTTTGGCCTAAGTCTAATAAGACAACATTTCTTGTCTTGCCACAAGATGGCACTTCTGAGCTGCTTTAGAGCTTAGGTTTGTCCTGTTGAAATAGTGAATTTAATAAAAGTGATTATGTTTGCCTTAGTCAGACACTGGTTTTTAGGACTTAAACCTAAAGATTGGACTTAAAACCAATCTTAAGCAGCTCAGGGAATTCAGAAGATAGGTTTGCAGCAAATTGCACTGAAAATAATATTTACATTTTAAAAATTCTTGATCCTGGGTTCACTTTTCATTGCATAATTTACACAGGAATAGACCTATAGCATAGGTGTTCTAGGAGATTATAACCTGCACAGTAATAAAACAATGTTTCCAAATTTCAGCTATTATTATTATTTACAGTCCACAGTTGGGCAATATATAGGGACCAACCCAAGTGTCATGAAGGCATAGCAAGCTTTCAACTTGTCCATAATTCTTCATCAAGCAAGATTCTACACAAAACAGGGGGTAAGGGGAACAAGGAAAAATAAAGAATGAAAAATTAATTTGATGTTGTAACCGTGGAGTCAGTTTGTAGAGTCAGTTCTAATATGGAAATTAATAGGCCGAATAATTTCCACTCAGTGCTACATAGATCATCTTACACAGTTAGGATTCTGGGATACAGAAGCAATGGCTGCTCCAGATTTCTGAGAAATTAAAGTTTGACTCGTAACAGATCTGTCTAGATTCTTATAGAACACACAGGTTGTTGGGTAGACAGAAGTAAGGATAAACACTAGCAAATTGTTCTATATAAATGGCAATTGCAACCAAATTATACAGTAGCACCTAGTGGTTGAAGGGGATGGTAATCTCCACATGTCAAGGTCCATTGTCAGGTACTAGAAATTCATCTTTGTCTTGTAGATTTCCCCCTGAATGGCTAGGTTACTATTTACCATCCTCTTTCTGCACACAAAAGTGCCTCGGGAGAAAATATCCCAAGAAATCAACTGATTTTTGTTTAGTGTGCCCCCCCTTTTTTTGTGTCCAAGTCAGTGCAATATGTTGAAGTAAAAATGTTCCATGGGTTTTTCAAAATGAAATTTTAACCTGGGAAGCAGACTTCAGTGATGGTTTAGGGATTTTACTACCCCCAATATATGTTAGATTTTTGCTTGAAGAAGTAAACTGTCTCCAAAGCTGCTTGTGTAATTTTTTTCGTTTCAGTTCATAAACACACACTGGTTGCTTCTATTTTGGATGTCTTCCATTAAAAATTGCTCCCTCCTGTCTTCTGCTACCTCTTTGCCCCTGAAGATGTTGTTTACTACAAACACACATTGAGGGGGAAATAGCAGTTAGGTCAATTTCAGGAGAAAAGTGGTGTGAGGTTGCAGTCTGGATCATAGAATTGTAGAGTTGGAAGGGACCACAAGGGTCATCTAGTCCAACCCCCTGCAATGCAGAAATATTTTGCCCAACATGGGTCTTGAAACCACAGTCCTGAGATTAATGTTCCATTAACTGAACTATCGTGGGGACGCGGGTGGCGCTGTGGGTAAAAGCCTCAGCACCTAGGGCTTGCCGATCGAAAGGTCGGCGGTTCGAATCCCCGCGGCGGGGTGCGCTCCCGTTGCTCGGTCCCAGCGCCTGCCAACCTAGCAGTTCGAAAGCACCTCCGGGTGCAAGTAGATAAATAGGGACCGCTTACCAGCGGGAAGGTAAACGGCATTCCGTGTGCTGCGCTGGCTCGCCAGATGCAGCTTGTCACGCTGGCCACGTGACCCGGAAGTGTCTCCGGACAGCGCTGGCCCCCGGCCTCTTGAGTGAGATGGGCGCACAACCGTAGAGTCTGTCAAGACTGGCCCGTACGGGCAGGGGTACCTTTACCTTTAACTGAACTATCACACATTCCAGATCAAGGCTCAGTGGCTGCTTTTTCTTCAAAATAAAAGCAGTTAGGTTAAACAAATGTGCTTAAGCAGATGACTACTGTTACATCTAATTTGGCCCTAATACAAGAATGTCACAAACCTGCTATATTTTATTTTTAGTTGAATGGAAAACAAATGCTACATGTATAGCTGTGTCAGCAATATATGCTTGTGCTTGCAAGTATTAAAGGCTGAAGGAGGTGCCATCTATTAACCTCTTACTGTAGCAAGCCAGTAGAAATCATTACAATGAATAATTGATTCTCAAATAGCTTTGTTCTTTTTTCAAGTACGTACATATCAATGTTTTTTCTGTCAAGGGTAGACCTGCAAAGCTCATTGTACTTCATATATTGTTCAACCTTTTTCTTGTATTATCCCATTTTTATTTTACTGTAAATTAAATGCAACAGGAATTTTTTAGTTTAGTTTAATGCATAAAAAGTTTGCACACCAAAAAGAGTAAAGTATGTTTTAAAGGTTTTTTTGGTAAATTATTGAAAATACATCAATTGGACATGTCAGCCACATCATTTTGGCATGTTCAGTCCTTATTGGGATGCTTAATAATGTTCGTACTTCAGGAAATAATTAGGAATTCTCTAACCAGCACTTAAAGAATTGAGATATCTTACAGTCATACCTCGGTTGAAGTAGCTTCGGGATGAATATTTTTGGGTTGTGCTCCGCGGTGACCTGGAAGTAACGGAGCGTGTTACTTCTGGGTTTTGCCGCATGCGCAGACGCTCAAAATGACGTCATGCGCGGAAGCAGCGATACGCGCAGTCGCATCTTACGTTTACTTCAGGATGTGAATGGGGCTCTGGAACAGATCCCGTTCGTAACCAGAGGTGTTGTTGTTTAGTCGTTTAGTCGTGTCCGACTCTTCGTGACCCCATGGACCAGAGCACGCCAGGCACTCCTGTCTTCCACCGCCTCCCGCAGTTTGGTTAGACTCATGTTTGTAGCTTCGAGAACACTATCCAACCATCTCATCCTCTGTTGTCCCCTTCTCCTTGTGCCCTCCATCTTTCCCAACATCAGGGTCTTTTCCAGGGAGTCTTCTCTTCTCATGAGGTGGCCAAAGTATTGGAGCCTCAACTTCACGATCTGTCCTTCCAGTGAGCACTCAGGTGCTCAAAATGACGTCATCCATCCTTAAGAATGGATGCGTTTGATCTTCTTGCAGTCCATGGGACTCTCAAGAGTCTCCTCCAGCACCATAATTCAAAAGCATCAATTCTTCGGCGATCAGCCTTCTTTATGGTCCAGCTCTCACTTCCATACATCACTATAACCAGAGGTACCACTGTATAATATACAAGTGGGAGCCTGAAACACAATGTTGCAGTATGGAATGCTACTTTTTGTGGTTCCAGTCAATCTGTTCCATTGCCTCATGGTCTAGTTTCCTTAGGTGTCCAATATTTTCATTTTCATTCTTTTTAAAAAATTGTTCCCTCTTAAATTTGTTTTTTTCTAATCTTCATGGACTATCACCTATCTTTTATAATGCTGTCATGTTTTCCCAAGTCTCAGAAATAGTTTGCTACTTCTGTTTCTGTCAAAGACCTACCACAGTTGTAAGCCTTAGGTCTGATTTTAAATTTTACATGTCTTTCAAATCCAGTGTCTCTCAACATAGCTGTCAACTTTTCCCCTTTCTTGCGAGGAATCCTATTCAGAATAAGGGAATTTCCCTTTAAAAAAGGGAAATGTTGACAGCTATGGTCTCAACATTCTGATATCCCTGCTATCACTTTTCATGTTCAGAAATATTACAACCTTCTCCCCCTACCTGAGACCTAAGTTTGTTTGGAATGTGGTGAAGGGAAGAAGACTCAGGAAAGTCAAATTGCTTTGCTTGCATAATTTTGGATGAATCCATTGTCAAATGACAACCTGACTTACTGATCATCCTTCCTTTTTACCCACCCCTTTGGGTAAGGAGACAGCAGACTGCAGAATCAATATTGTCTCCTTCCTAGTTCCCCATATTCGTCTCCTTGGGTCTGTGCAAAACCTTCAGTGGTTGTTGTTCATCCTCAGACTATCCTAATTATTCATGGGTAGTCCAAGTCTCTCCCCCCCCACGCCCAGTTTTAGTCTCCCCTCCCCTTCTTTTAGGATATTTTACACATCCCCCTTTAAAAGCCATGTTTACTGTCTGTTCCTGAGCTCCACCTTGTCACAACTAACTTTTGCTCTCACACATCCACTTTATTGATAAGGAGACTGAGGCTTCTGAGTCATTTAACTGATTTATTTTATTTAAAATTAGTTGTCCCTCTTATTCAGTCAGTCAAGGATGCTCTGTAAACTTACACAGTATGGCAATTTTGGTAATGGCTAACTGAAGAAATGCTCTTGTTAGCAAAAATCATAATACAGCTGAATAGTGGGAGATTCAGGACAGATTAAAAGTACTTCACACTATGCATTGTTAAACTGTGGAATTCCCTGTCACAAACGGTGGTTGTGGCCAGCTTGGTTTTAGGATTAAATACGTCATGATTATGGCTTTAAGTTACTCCCAAGATCAAAGGCAGCATGCCTCTGAATACCAGTTGCTGGGGAACAACAGAGGGAGAGGTCTATTGCCCTCACATCTAGCTTGTGAGCTTCCCATTGGCATCAGATGCGGAGGAAAGATGCTGGACTAGCTAGGCCTTTGCTCTCATTTAGCTACTTTTCTTACGTTCTCGATAGTGTGCTGCTATAGTAGTAATAGCAACATTTTGCTCAAAGTGCTTCATTTACTTGATCTGTATTCTGATTCTGTAAAACAGCTTAATATTAGCGATTTATGCAAGACTTCTAACAAATCTTCATGTCTGAAATATTCTATATCACCTGTTATCAGACATTACATTTTCTTCATTGAAAAGTCTGGCCCATGTTGGTGTCTATTGTTACATTTTTGTGGCAATGCACTGTTGTTCTGCCTCCTGAATTGTGCTTCACTATGTTTAAATTTTTAACTTGAGGTAACGGTGTTAGCTTTCTTTTATGGAAAGGACTGATTATGATACCGTAACTCTTTTCTGTAGTAAAGCCCATTCATTGTCTTCATTATGTATGTATTCCTGTAACAAAATCAGCATCAATGCATTTTTTGTGTCTAATTTTTAGAAGGCTTTTTGTTTTGCTGAGAGAGTGCTGTTGTTGAATTGTGTTTTGACCTACTTTTTCATTCATGTTACAAACTAAAGACTGGAAATGTGAAATGTAAGGGTGACAATTTGACCACATTCTGAGACTTGAATATGTTCACAAGTTGCAAAGCCCTTAATTCAGATTTGTCCCCAGCATTGTGGACCATATGTTCACAGAGTGTTCCATAGTTGGCACTGGAAACATTCTGCATGTTCTCTGTCTCCATGAAAAGTTGTGGGAATCCACTAATGCAAAGTTCTCAGGTTTATTGACTGCAAAGGTTGTGTGGGAAGGGCTATAACTTTGTCTTGAACAAATTTACCTCAAAATAAGCCCTCCTGAGTACAGTATGACTTAAAGGTAAGTGTGCTCTGAATCTCACTTTAAGCCACATCATTCTATCCCCCACCCCGCACTTACTGACTTACAGTATTCTTATATTGCCATAATGTAGAGACTCAAAACAACATCTGAAGTCTGGCAACAGATTGCTTTTTTAATACATGATACCTGAACCATCTGCACTTAGAGTAATTAAAGAAAGTGACTGTTTTGGATTCAGTTTCAACCTTAGAAAATGTCACAGAAAATATCCTTTTGAGTCTCAGAGTTATAGGGGATTGGTGTGAAGCAGGTGGGTGGTTTTAAATATATAGACTCTGTGTCTTATAAAGTATACTCTGGAGAAACTTTTCAATTTGGCAGTAGTTTACTTAACTATGACATCAGCTGCAAAGATCTGGCAAAAAATGGAGCATTTCCAAACCTGCAAATGTTTTTTTTACCCCTTTAGTGTGGTTTCTAGCTAATGTACATAAGAGACCTGGATGTGTGTGGAAGGTGGCATCTTCCTCAATGTTATGAAATACTGTCACATTAACATTGTTAGTGCATTGTCATATAATCTGATAGTCAATAAAACCTCTGGATCCTTCTAGCTAAGTACGAGAATGTTTGTATTTTGCTTTAGCAAAGAAAGCAGATGGCAAAATCTTACTATGGTTAACAATATTAGCAAAAATTAAAGTTGGACTTTAAGTGTTAGGCAGAAACTTTTACTTTTGATGGTTTACCTATATTGCTGAATGTATGATGAATTGTTTGACTCAACATTTAATAAAACAATGGCTACCAGTGCTAAGACACCACTGAAGTCTGAAATAAATGCCATCAATCTTTTGAAGGTGAGCATTAAAAGGTTTTGTATATGTTTCTTCGCAAGCTAAGGAAATTGTGGATGTGCAGATAAACTAACATAACATGTTGCTGCTAGGAAGGCATCAGGAATTAAAACGAGTAACACCTAAACAGCAGTTCTAAAATTAAGGCAAACATTGAATTATTTGAATCAGTTTTCTAATTGTGCACAATTAGAAAACCAGAGGTACAAGTAGGTATATCTATTTTAATTGCCAGGTCTTACCATTATGAGCATTCTTGTGATTACTTTCTTTACTTTTCAGTGTCTTATCCCAGAATGGGTATGAAAAATACTAAGATATGTATAAAATACATCAATTAGTACACTAACCTAATCCAAGCAGGGAAAGATTCTGCTTAATGCTTCAGATTGCTTTGTGTCATAGGCTGGTTAGCACTTTACCTTTTTAGTCACTGAAGGTACAATGCAGTGCGGATCCAGAAAGACAGGGGCATCCAACTTACTTATTTCTAAGATTTATATATTGCTTTTTATTACTAACATTTTGTGGGAGGGATTCAAGTGCATACTGGAAATTTAGGTATGTACAATTAAAAATAGGAAAGACACTTAAAAGTGTGGGTTGAACAAATGGTTAATGGGAGGATGTGTGAACACACTGCAAGTAAATCAGGATGAATGCTCACTGTTTTATAACTGCCCAATAAACAAATCAGAACAAATACTCACTAAAGACCAGATGCAGTCTACTCACCATGTAAGCTTTGTGTAAGCAATTGCTGGGCAGATGCTGAATAAACAGGAGGAGACCAGAACAATTAGTAATCCTAATTAAAATAAAGTAATAAATCAAAAGTAGACAAGCCTCAAGTTTTCATTTAAAAGGAAAACAGTAGAAGAATAAGCAAGTTTCCAAAAGCACAACAGAGAAGCAAAATCAAACCTTTCTGTTCTTCCCTATCCAGCAGGTGCATCTGTCTTGCCTGCCCATCAACATCCCCCGATATCAGTGTAGGGACAGAATGTTTTAGTAGCTTGTATACAGGTCCATGTCATACAAGGTTTTTCATTCCAGAGGGATTCAAAATTCAACTATGATTGAAATAGTTTATAGAGCATGTAATTGTGCCTAGCATGTGGCAGTGGTGGCAGCAAAAAAAGCCTACTGTGTTGCCACCACTACATCCTGAAGTTGCTATGGAACACTTCTTAGGGTGGTGAAAGCTTTAGGCCCAGGAACATCAGTCCATTCCTACTCACTGAAGTCTATTGTGACACATTTGCCATGTGCTTTAAGAGCAATAGCACTCATTTCTGTTCCAGCCTTGATACCACAGTTGATGTAGGTCTGGTGTAGGTTTCAATCTCTTGCTGTGGACAGGATTTAACCCCTCCTCATCAGCTGATAGCGCAGGTTGAATGCTGCTTTGGATGGCTTTGTGCTGCTATTCACTTCTGGGCATGCATGCAGCCAATGCGGGAGTTAAACCCTGCCCTTGACCCATCAGCTGACAGTTTGAGTGATGTCAGCTAATGGGTAGGTGAGTATGATTTGGAGGAAACAGCCTTGCAGGCCAACTTGGACTGCCTGGTGAGCCATGATTGACCTGTGAGCCCTGCTTTATAAGAAAACATAACTTCCTAAAAACTGCCTCATTTGTGACCTGAGGTTGGTTTTTGATTGTGGTTAGCATATCTGTTCAGGGTTACCAGCAGAAGAAAGATTAACTTTTAAAAGCAGCAAGAGGAAAAAGGAAAGTTAATGGATAAAGTGGATCGTTAGCACATAATTCAAACCTTAAGCATGTACTTCAGAGCTACTTTAAATGTTACATACATTTGTGGAAAATATATTGGATATTGAAATACTGTTTTTATGCTTGTTTATGTTGTTGAAAAAGCATAGCAGCAAGTTTTATTGCTTAGCCATAGTCTTTTACAATTCTTGATGAAAACTTAGCATATGCATCTTGCAAATAAACCATAAATAGCAAAAGGTTAATAAAATCAGAAAAATTCCACTATAAAAAGTAAACAAAAATAAGACCATCAACAAATGAATAAGGTGTAGAATTAAAAAAACACACAAATTTAAACACATATTAAATTTTGATATGTATTTTTTAAAATTCCAACTACTGTATTGAAAGAATCTGCTCTCACGTGTTTGCTGCTACAGTATTTTGTCAGAACCATGGTTGATCAAAAGTAAATCAATATAATGAACTATAAGTCTTAAAATGATTAACATCCTAGGAACTAAAGGAACCAAGATGAACTCATTGTTTGACTCCCTGCATATAAATCAAACATTAAAAGTAGAATAAATAATCATGAATAGTTTTTTTAAAAACTACTAAAATAGCTGAATTCAAAACAGTTTCAATTCACACTAACCTTGAACTGGAAACTTATTTGTACAAAAGAGATGCAGAAATCTCCAGCAGGCCAGATTCTCAGACTGGGCAAAAAGAAAACCTCAGTCTTTATCCCCTTCCAAACTGCTAAGCAAACTAAATAAACAGTCAGTCCTTGGCCTCTGTACTTAGAATTGAATTCAAATAATTGTTCTTCCCCTGCCACCTCCACCACAAGCAGCCATATAGCCTTCAGGATGCTCTGCAGCAGATTGCTTATCAAGGTTCTCATAAGGTTGAGGTGGGGTAGGGAGAACAGCTACTGCAGCAGCTCTCTCCTTCCTTGGAAGTTTTTAAACAGAAGTTGTATGACCATCTGTCATGGATGCTTTAGCTGACATTCCTGCATTGCAGGAGGTTGGACTAGATGACCCTTAGGGCCCCTTCCAACTCTTTAAGATTTATGATTCTATACTCTCATACAAAAAGCCCTGAAAGGCTAAACAAGAACAGTAGGTGACAGATTGCATTATGTGGTATGCACAAAACTGTCACATAATTAAGTGCAGATTGCTTGAACACCTGTCATTCTGCTTACACCCATAGATATGTATGTTTTAAGTACCGTAATCCACTTCATCTTAGAATTTCTTATAAAGAATATTGCTTTATTATTAGTGCTATTTAGACCAATCTACCTTTCATTGTTCATTATTCTGAGGAATTACACTGCTAATTCCTGATATAATGAAATAATGGAATTTATGCTTTAGCTGAAAACATAAGGTAATTTAATTTATGACTTAAGTGAAAATAAATGCTATATATAAATACCTGCTGTTCTTTAAAAGTTGTGGCTGATACCAAACATTAAAACAGTTCTGTTGCATCTTCTGCTTGGCGCATTATTGAAGTTTGTTTTAAGAAAATACCATAAGATGCTTTGCAACCCAAATCCTATAATGGAAACGTTTTTAAAGTGCAAATTTAAAAATATATTGCTATGGTGAAATGTTCCAAGACAACCTATGGGCTATGATGTCATTAAAATTGCTGCAGTAAAGAATTCAGTATACATGGCTTTTGTCAATGACTGATAGCTTTTTCAGTACTGTGAAATGCTATTATATTTTGCTGGAATAGCTGTGGCAAACTTAATCCTATATGGTGGCAAGTCTGCAGTTTTTATGACTGAAAGAGACATCACTAACAGACTAGCAAAATGTTTTAATCTTCTAAAAGGTCTAAAAACATTGGTTACATTCTGTTTATTGTGACTACTTGGTAAAAATAATTTATTTCTGAAATACTGAAAGGAAATCAGCAATTGCTTTCATATTAAACTACTGCTCATTCACATACAGGAGGTTTTTTCCAGTAGACTTTTGGGCATTTCTGACATGAACATGGTACTCTCTTTATGTGAGAGAGTGTTTTCTTATGCATGAACGGTATTAATTTTTTATATTGTATGTTTTCAGCTTAGGATGATGTTTAGCCTTTGACCTAACCACTTTCTTACAATAAACAGTTTGTTGATGAGAGCAGCTGCTAAGAAGATTGCTTCCAGACTGTTCTCACAGCACTGAGTGAGAGAAAAAGTAAAGCAAAGTGCACCTTACAAAGGGCAGGCATTGCAAAATTATATTCACTGTGCTTGCATTATATTATATCAACATTTCTATATTTATGCATTGAAATACTTGGTAGCAGAGTGTACAACAGCATAGTTGTGTGTCTTCAAAAATAAGCTACTGAAAATATACTTCTATTTGCAATGATTCTGGAGTAGAACTTGGATGCAGTGGTAGCTGGGAAGTTGGTAGAGATTTTCTTCTAAATTATGAAATTGTTCCAATTAGTACATGAGGGTGTAGTTGGAGAGATTCCTTGATGCCTGGAATTCTTGGTTTGGAAAAAATGTGAACAAGTGGGACATGATAGAGGTGCATAAAACCATGCATGTATGGAGAATGGCATACTTCCTCTCTCATACTGTACAGTGTAATTTGCTGCAACAGATTTGCTGCAACAGATTATGGTGATTGCTAGGGATGTACAAACTTCCCACCATTTTTTCTCACATAGATGCACATTCTTCTAGTATTTTTTCATTCTGCAATGAGTTTATTTTACCCAAGTCTTTCTTCAGGTGTGTCATGTGGAAATAAATTATTTTCAAATACATTGGAATACATATACCATGGAGTACAATAGACATGCCTCATCCATCAACATATTTGCAAATCAAAACCTTCCACATGTGTTTCCCTTCAAAGCTAATGAGTTTCCAGAGAGGTAGTCTTTTGTAGCAAAACAAGCAGTCTTGTGGCGTGTTAAAGATGAAAGTTAATGAAGTTGCTAATCACCCATCACAAAACTATATGTAGCTGCAATTTTGACCATGTCTACTCAGTATGTCC